CACGGAGCCGAGCACAGAACCCGGTGGGACTACACTAGTCATGAGAACAGGCGCAGAAAATGTATCGTTTACTTGCACGTGCATCGTGCGGTCGCGAAGGAAATCAGATATCCAAGAGAGAAGATTCCCGGCGATAATGATCCCTCGGAGTTTAAGCAAGTCGTTCGTGCGGGACCCTATCGAAAGGTTTGCTGAAATCCACAAACAAAACGTCCAGGCGTTTATCGGAATCTAGCGACTTCGCCCATTTCTCCTTAGTTCGAGGTACATGAGCATGCCCTTCGAAAACCATGATGTGCACAAGAGAAGAGATTCAGTTCCTCGAAGTAGAGATAAAGAGCCTGTTACAAGATCCGCTCCATAACTTTATACAATATCGAGGTTAAGCAGGTAGGACGATAGTTGACTGGATATTGCCTGTTCCCTCCTTTGTATATGGGTTTGACAATGTCCACTTTCCAAGTCGACGGAAAACGCCCAGCATCGAAGGAACGACGGAAAATCTGACAGAGGGGTGATGTACTGTGCCACAGTCCTAAAGCACAGGAGGTGCAAGCCGTCCGGGCCGGGTGAAGAATGTGGATCTAAATCAAGGAGAAGTTTAACCACAGTATTGATGTTAATGTCTACTTGTTCCAACAGATAAGGAAAACTGGACGCAATGTTGTCGAAGGCGGGAGTTTCTTTCGTGAAGACAGAGGCGTACTGCTGGGCCAAAAGACGGGCTTTATCAGCGTCTTCGTAAATTTCGATGTTCAAAAGAACACAAGGTAGGGATGCCACCGCCAGCCCTGGTGCTTCTTTACAGATAAGGGAAAAGCATTTTGGGTGTCGTTCTGGAGTGTACTGCTGATGATAGTTCATATTGCTGACGTTTCTGAGGCTTCAACATGACACAAACGTTCCTGGTAGTCTTGTAGGAAGAGTAATCGGACCCTGTTTGAGATTGCCCGAAATCGTCCCACAATTTGCGTCTTCTGTTCACCAGAGACTTCAATTCACTGTCAATCCAAGGTGGAGCCCTTTTGAAGGACTTTCTAGGGGAGAAAGGCACGACCTGCTCAATTAGGAAGTTATTCTGGAGAGAACAAGGTTCCAAGCATCATCAAGAGGAATGGAATCAGGAATACTCCAGTCCATAGCGCTTGCGGCTGTTCTCAGACGGAGTAGATCCGCATGCCAAAAGTTCCGACGACAACCACTTTGGCTATGGATCGTGAGGCAATGTGTCCATTGGAATGAAACGACACAATGATCACTTTTGCCGATGGGTTGAAGAACTGTTAGATTCGTGACATCTGACTGGGCTGGAGTGAGCACAAGGTCTAGAATGTTTGGCGTTTTGTCGGAAACAATGCGAATTGGCATGGTGACGTGCTGGAACAAATTACAATCGATGACAGTCTCAAATGAGGTATCATCAAAGGAACCAGGTGGACGATCACAAAGAAGTAAGTCCCAATCGATATTAGGTGCATTAAAATCCCCCACGGTAAGATTGTCCTTTCCTGCGCCGTGTTTCCTGATCGAATCGAGCAACTGTACTCCGGATCCCGATGGCGTTCTGCAGACAACACCAATAGTGAAGGATCTGCATCCATCATAAATACGGCACCAAAGATCATCAAAATCACCATCGTCGCCACTAGTAGCTGCAACCAAATGGGCCTTGAGTTCCGCCTCCCGGTAAAGTATGACGCCGCCACCGGGCCTACCTCCAAGGCGGTCGGCTCGACAGAGACTGTATCCGGGGATAGAAACCTCTGAACCTATGATGTCCGCAAAAAGCCAAGTTTCGGTGAAGGCCATCAAGTCTAGGCGAGCAGCTGACGCAAGCATCTGTACCTCATCAAATTTATTGCTCATAATGCGTACACTGGCAAAAATTACACGCAGCCCGTTCTCATGCTCTACTGTCCCAGGTTGAGGAGGATTGGCCTCCAAAGGGTTCTCGGATTCTCCGGATTACGCGAAAATCCACGATGTGGAGATCTGTCTCACCATTCGCTCGGCCGGACTGCAGTTCATCAACGGCTGTTTTCATTTTAATACGATCTTCCGGAGATCACAGGACATAAAAGGGCTCACCTTTCAATCCTGGGGTTCGCCGGAGGATGCGTCGGCATTTATCTTCGCTTTGGCATACGATCTTGAGGGGGCGTACCTTAGAAGGATCCTTTTGCTTCCTGCCCAGGAGGAAGACAGAGATAATGTTTGTACCCAATTCAGCTTCATCGAATAAAATGGAAATCATTCGCTCAATGAACCCTTTGTCATGTAGCATCCTTTCTGCAGAGGTGTCCTTGGTGGATTCTGGCGCGTTCACAATGATAAGACATCTTTCACGAGAGGGTGGTAGAGCGCGGCCAGAGATCTGCGGCTGTGGTGACGTACTGTCCTTGAGCAACTCTTCCAGATTGTTGACTTTGTCGAAAACAGATTTCATTTAGGACTGGAAAGCAGTTTTCTTGGGTCTGGACTTAGACTTCGCCTGAAAATTACATATAGTTGGATTCCGACCCATCGGGACAGTCCCTGTCAGCACCATCGGTCACTCGGGCGCCCGATACGGGACACTCATCGGGCGTTCGTAAAATATGGCCTATGAAACCCGCTTATAGCCGTATCAACTGTCCAACGGCGACTGAAAACATCGACGGTCCTTCGATTAACTTCTGATAATAAACAAAATCCTCATTAAAGGATAGTAGAGATGTTAACTTCGTGAATGCAGTATTTACACCCACGTTTTGCATAACTGCTGGTACGTGTGCGCTACACATTTCCGTTATGCGACACCTATAGGTATCCCCCATAAAAGTGCGATAAGCGTACAAGATTGCACTCCCAGTAGCTGAAACGTCTCACCACCAGCAGACTTCCCACGCAATGTTATCGTTGAGCACGTAATGCCCCCTTCACGAAAGGCACAGCTGCCATACAGCGAAAAGCAGCCATGGATTCAAGGGAGGCCCTGCCAAGTCAAGAGTGATCGTAGATTCCGACGTTAGTTTCTACATGTAACAGCTTTGCGTGAATATGTGACAGAAGCGGACTGTCCTGCTGGTAGGAATATGAGCAGTGAGGGCGCACCAACGTAGTTCCGTAGTGTAGTAATATGGGGCGCTCGTCCCGTTGCGTAGGTGTCCGGAGTTCGAATCTTGGCAGGGTCGCATAAGGATTAAACGGTATCACTGGATGGATCTCGTGGTTGTGCATTAGGTCGCGGTCCTTTCTCCATTTTCTTCTTTTCGCTACGTTCCAGCGCGCATTATTAAGATTAAGCACTTTGCACACTCTTCATGACGATGTTGACTGAATCGCGTGCACCAGTTGTGTTAATGGCTATGTTGAGGCCAATACCATAGGTAATCTAATGCCATGCGTTGAGGAATACACTAAGGAGTGTAAAGAGGGAGTGCTGCTAAAGATTTCTCCGCCAGTCCGAAACGTCTCGTTCGCACATATTTTAGAAGCTGAGCGGCCTGCCGGCGGATTTTCATGCCGGTAGGGTCCCCAGATGTGTGGAAACGTAATAACGTGCAATCAAAGGTGTTGGCAGAGAACGTAAGGTGGCTAGATTATTCCTACAGAGCAAAATCTGGGAAAAACAGGACATTTGAAGGAGGAACCGCAAGATTTTTCTCGACGAGCGCTCGATGAGTGACACACTTTTGTGCCACTCGGGCGCCCATCGGGCGCTCGATCGGTCACCCATCGGACTTCCAACGGGCACTGGCGCTGAGTGGGGTGGGAGTTTTCCGCACCACGGCAGCGTGTCTTAGTCGTGGGCTCACTGGGCAAGGCGTGTGTCAAAGGCTCTGATTGGGAAGCAGATTGGACACGGCTTCTTTTACCCGTGGTGGTAGCTGAGTCAGAATTAGGTGTGGACTAAAAAGGTGATGAAACAAGATCTTGGACTCGAGAGTCCAATGCAGTGGAAGCTTCAAAGTTCGTTGGAGTTGAATGAGGGCTCAGGACTGCCAGTCCGGCGTGAAAGCATCGACTGTTTAATGAATTAGGACAGCAGCTGCAGGAAACATTGATAGCCGATATAGTACATCGTTGCAGACTCCTAGAGTTCAGGACAAATGTCGCAGCAAGCAATATGCAGCCATCCGTCACACTCAGAGCAGTGTACAGTCTAAGAACGCGAAGCCACACCTTTACTGCAACTCAAGCATTTTGACCCCATAGCTAAAAACCCGGATACGTCTTCCCACTCGATGAATCGA